AGTTATGCTATTGATTATTAACAATTACCTGGGTTAAAGAGGCAGCACAGCAAGACTGTCTCAGACTGGGAGGTGTGACCAACCTAAATTAGCATTCCTCTCAAAGACTAAGCCTTCCTTGTTCTTACCTTAGGAACAAGCTTATTCTTCTCCACCTCAACATTGTTTCTCCACTTTCTCTTGGGAAGAACTTGTTAACCAAAGGGTAACTAACACAGCGACCCACATGTGATCTCGATTCCTAGAAACTAGATTCCTTGTTTTGGAAGTCTTGGCTTTCCATTATAAAGTCAGTGGACTTAAACTTTGATCTCAAGGTTTCTTCAAGTCCCAAGACTAAGCAGGATGCCAAGGTATAGATACTGAGATGATCTACTGAGCTCAGATCTTCTAGGACAGCTCCGAATTCTGCGGTTGTTCTCGGTCCTTTTTACCTTCCTTTCTCTTTTGGCATTTACTTTTCAATTTTAAAAATTACACTTTTATTATATTGTATGTGTGCATATAAACACTACAACATGCTTACGGCAGTAAGGAGACAGCTTGTTGGACTGATTCTTTCCTTCCAAATACATATTAAATTCCAATTACAAGCATTGGTGGCAGGCATTTTTAACCACTGAGCTGTTTTGCTGACCCTTGGTTTTGTGAGATGAGAGGGCCTCAAATACACTATGAGGCTGAGGTGTTGGGGTTGCAGATGTGAGTTACCGTATCCAGCTTCCTTTGCCATTTTTACCTGTTGCCTTTGGGGGACAGAGACCTGATCTCTTCTGTCTTTTTTCTTTTTGCATGGTGTACTGATCTGGTATAGGCAGAAAATATTTAGGCAGTGAGTAGAGGTATATTTTTGGGTGGGTGAGAGACACACACATAATATACATGCAAAATGTTCATATACATAAAACAAACCAAAAAAACACGTTTTGTTTTATTTGAAATACAGCAATTTACAACACTCGGTTTCAGGAAAGACATTTAAGAAGGCAGCTTCTAGCCTGGAGGAGGTGGTGCACACCTTTAATCCCAGCACTAGGGAGGCAGAGGCATGTGATTTTCAGAGAGTTCAAGCCAGCCTGGTCTACAGAGTGAGTTCCAGGATAGTCAGTCAGAAGTGTCCCATAGAGAAACTCTGTCTCAAAACAAAACAAACGAAATAATAAAAAAATCAGCTTCTAGTATAATGCCTTATATACAAGATTAAGTAAATATTGTTGGATATACAGACAGGTAGTTTTCAATATAGTCTGTCTATGTAGTCTAAGCTGACCTCCATCTCTATAACTAAGGTTGAGGCTTAAATGTGTTATCCTCCTGCATCAGCCCCAGAAGTGTTGGGATTTTAGACTTTTGTCAACACACCAGGCCTGAACAGGCAAATTTAAATCTTCGTGGGTTCAATGCAATGCCCATCAAAATCCCAGCAAAATTCTTCAAAGACATCGAAAGAACAGTACTCAACTTCACATGGAAAAGCAAAAAACCCAGGATAGCCAAAACAATCCTCTACAATAAAAGAACTTCTGGAGGCATCACAATCCCTGACTTCAAGCTCTACTACAGAGCTACAGTACTGAAAACAGCCTGGTATTGGCATAAGAACAGACAGGAGGACCAATGGAACCTAATAGAAGACCTGATATCAATCCACATCTTCGAACACCTGATCTTTGATAAAGAAACAAAAAATATCAAATGGAAAAAAGAAAGCATATTTAACAAGTGGTGCTGGCATAACTGGATATCAACATGTAGAAGAATGAAAATAGACCCATATCTATCACCATGCACAAAACTCAAGTCCAAATGGATCAAAGACCTCAACATAAAGAAAGCCAGCCTCAATGAACTTCATAGAATAGATAGTGGGAAGTATATTCGAACATATTGGCACAGGAGACCACTTCCTAAATATTACCCCAGCAGCACAGACACTGAGAGAAACAATTAATAAATGGGACCTCCTGAAACTGAGAACCTTCTATAAAGCAAAGGACATGGTCAACAAGAAAAAACGACAGCATACAGAATGGGAAAAGATCTTCATCAACCCCACATCAGACAGAGGTCTGATCTCCAAAATATATGAAGAACTCAAGAAATTGGTCATCAAAAGAACAAATAATCCAATAAAAAATGGGAGTACAGACCTAAACAGAGAACTCTCAACAGAGGAATCTAAAATGGCTGAAAGACACTTAAGGAAATGTTCAACATCCTTAGTCATTAGAGAAATGCAAATCAAAACAACTCTGAGATTCCATCTTAGACCTGTAAGAATGGCCAAGATCAAAAACACCTATGACAACTTATGCTGGAGAGGTTGTGGGGAAAAGGGAACACTTCTGCATTGCTGGTGGGAGTGCAAGCTGATACAGCCCCTTTGGATGTCACTGTAGTGATTTTTCAGAAAATTAGTAAACAATCTTCCTCAAGACCCAGTAATACCACTTTTGGGTATATATCCAAAGGATGCTCAATCGTGTCACAAGGACATGTGCTCAACTATGTTCATAGCAGCTTTGTTTGTCATAACCAGAACCTGGAAACAACCAAAATGCCCCTTGACTGAAGAATGGATAAAGAAAATGTGGTACATTTACACAATAGAGTACTATACAGCAGAAAAAAATAACGACAGCTTGAATTTTGCAGGAAAATGAATGGAGCTAGAAAAAACTATTGAGTGAGGCAACCCAGACACAGAAAGACAATTATCACATGTACTCACTCAGAGGTGTTTTTAAACAAAAAGCAAAGAAAGCCAGCCTACAAACCACAATCCTAGAGAACTTAGACAACAATGTGGACACTAAGAGAGACTTATATAGATCTAATCTGTATGAGAAGTAGAAAGTAGAAAAAGACAAGATTTCCTGAGTAAATTGGGAGCAGGGGACCTTGGGGGAAGATTGAATGGGGAAGGGGAGAGGCAGGGAGGGGAGTAGAGAAAAATGTAGAGCTCAATAAATATCAATAAAAAATGTGAAAAAAAATCATCTTGGGGTTGGGGAAGTAGCTCAGTATATCAAATGTTTGCCTTGCAATCTTCAGTGCTTGAGTTTAACCCCAAGAACACACAAAAATAAAAACCAGGTATAGTGGAACTTGGCTGTAAAGCCTATATCAGGAAACAGAGACAAACAGATTCTTAGGGCTCACTGGCCAGTCAGTCTAACTGCAACAGTGAGTTCCAGATTAGTGAGTCCCTGCTAAAAACAAAGAGAACAGGGTAGATGATGTCCTGTGAACATGTAATATACCTGCACATACATGAACACACACAAAACATTATCTTTGACTTTCTACAGGGTGTTTTTTGTTTGTTTTAAGGTTTATTTTATTTTAATTTGCTTTGTGTGTGTGTTAGGTGTTTTGCCTGTATGTATGCACACCACTTACATGCCTGGTACCCACAGAAGTCAGAAGGGGTGGGACCCCTGGGACTAGAGCTACAGTGTTTGTACACCACCATGTGAGGGCTGGAAACTGAACTCAGGTTCTCTGCAAGGCCTGCATAGGCTTTTTGTCAAAGTTCCCATGTAGTTGAGAACCACCCTTGCCGTCCTGGGCTTTCTACCTCCACTTCCAATGCGAGCTCATATATAAGTCTCCACTTTGAGACTCAGACCTTCCAGGTATAGAACTAGGGACCAACTTTAATCTCCCTGAGCAAAACAAATCAAGCATATATTCTAAGGGTATAGGACAGAGAGAGTGCTGAGGAAGTCATGGTCTCTTACCTACAAATGCCAGGTTCTTAAAGGTTTCTGACTGCACTTTCCGGTAAAGGATCTTCTGTTTCTCAGTCAGACACGCCCATTCTTCGTTGGTGAAATACACTGCTACATCCTCACAAGTGATTGGTCTCTGGAGGGGCTGGGCAGGCTTAAGAATATAAACAAACACAGAAAACTTAAGTGATTGAGGTAACATCATTTTGCTCTGACTTTGTGTCTGCTTAGGGACTCTCTAAACAGCTATATCAGCCTTGGGAACACGTTCAGGATTTTCTATGATCCTGACCACAGCCCAAAGCATAACCAAACTATCTGCTGAAATTTGCAGCTAAAGCAAGTATTACCAGGTTCCCCTAACTTATACCCAACAACGTTTTTTTGCCTTTAAAACTGTTGTATGCCTAAGCTTCCAAGGCAAGAGTTCTTCCAAGTTGCTAGCCTGCTTCTCATCACCATCTTATGAAAGACTCTTATTTGGCCCTATATGCATGGTGATGTCCTCTATAAAATCCTGAGATATTCTCAAGGTTTAGAGAATTCAGACCACGAAGAAAGAACAAGTATGAAGAAGGCACAAAATCAGGGTCTGTGATTTGCCAAAAGGAAAGGGTGATACAGAAGTAGGAGGAAATCTCCGAACATGATGAAGAGAAGGGAAGGAATGTTAATTGCTACTCTTACAGAACCTGTGCAGGATACTAGGGCGGTATCAGAGAAAATCATGAAATTCTTTTCTCCCCTATTGTTTGGCCTGGGAAAATCTGAAATTCCAAGAGGCAGGGGAACGGCAAAAGACCTCAGAGTCTAAGGCCTCCATTTCTCCACCCGATCTTCTCTCTTCCACTGTTAGATTCCACTTGAGATCTCTGTGTTATATACATGTGTGTTCCTCTATCTTAGCTTTTTGAAAATTATCCTGTTGCACCTTATTTGTGTGTGTGAGAGAGAGATTTTTTTTTTTTAATGTAGGGACTGAAAATCTCAGCTGTGTTCTCAAGTTTGTACATCAAGTACTTTATACACTGAGCCATCTCCCCTAATCCTCCACCATAATCTTTCTTCCGCGCTTCTGTAGAGAGGCTAACATACTACCTATTCCAAGGTGGCATGTCTTTCTTTAGCTGTGTCTCTTTCTGGTTTAGTCTCTTCTGGCCTGATCCCTAAGACTAATTGGACTCTTTGTGACTCTACCTCCCAGGAACTGGGCAAATAGGGAGGTCCTACAAGGCCCCAGCATTTGATACTGCTTCTTGTAACAAAGTATCTACTCTAAAAGACTGTCTTCCTTGAATGGTCAGATGTACAATTCCTCTTTCACACTTGGTAACTTTAGTTCTCTCAAAGCCAGGCTGTAGAGTTCAGGGCTCTGGTTACCTGTTTCTTGCTTCCCATTGTTTGATGATGCCAGGCTGGTACTAAGTCTTTGATGTCTATTCCAGACTGCTCCTAGCCACTATTTGTTGGTTCCCACTTCTAGAAACCTGAAGTTAGGGGAAAATATACAATATCAGCAAAAGGATAAGAAGCAAGTCCTTCCTTAGCACACAGTCACTAACTTCCTCTACTGGGATGGAACCTTCTCGGCAGGACCATTTAAGGTAGCTGTTAATGGTTCCTTCTTCCCAAACCTCAAGTGGAGGGGCATTAGGTCATTCACTCAAAGATANAGTTCTTTAGTTCTAGCGCAGTGCTACTGAAAAGCATATACCAGAAATTATCACAAACTACTGAGTCTATCTCTTCATCCTCCCTGACTTGATTTCACTGGAAACATTTAAGTCAATATCTCTTCTAGAACCGAAGATTAAAACATATATTCTGTTACCTGAATATGTATGTAGTCCCCCTGGGCTCAGACCCAGGGTCTGATCCATGCGAAACAAGTGCTGTACCACTCAGCATTGCACACACCCCAAGCTCTGTGACTTAGATTTTTAATATATAGATCCATTATTTACATTATTCATAATCAATCTATCCCCTGATGACTTAAGCTAAAAATATGATTAGGTTGGGGCTGGAGAGATGGCTCAGAGGTTAAGAGCACTGGCTGCTCTTCCAGAGATCCTGAGTTCAATTCCCAGCAACCACATGGTGGCTCACAACCATCTGTAATGAGATCTAGTGCCCTCTTCTGGCCTGCAAGTATACATGCAAGCAGAACACTGTACATGCAATAAATAAAGATTTATTAAAAATATTATTAGGTCAGAAATGCAAATAGTGCACCTTGCCTACAGAACCTCATAGCTTAGTACATGGCACACTGTAGTGTTTCGTTTCTCCTCCTAACCTGCTAGCTGTTTGGAAACTGCAGCCTGTGACCGCTATCCAGCATGCAGAGAACCTCAGAGTACCCTTATGTACCAATACTGCTAGCCTAGTACAAGTTGAATCAAACCCCGCAAAACAAACTGAATGAATGTTAAGACTTTCCCATTATTTCGAACCATCTTAAGTGCTGGCATCGTGAGTCAGCCATGGCTTCTACGACCAGATCCCTGTATAGCACAGTGATGATAATCCAACAGCATTTAAGTTCCCTGTTCACTTGGAAATTTTACACTCGCTGAAGAAAAATAAAAAGGCCTCTCCCCATGGACAGCCACTCACCTCTTCCTCCTCTCTCTAGATGCTAAGGAAAGCATAAAGGGATAAAAACAAGCGGCCCTTTCCTTGCTGCCCACTTCTTTGGTTAAGTGAAAACACCAGGCAGGAACAAGGCATTAGAGGAATTGCTAACTGGATCCCCAAGAAGTTGCCGGGAAAGCTGGATCTGAAGTTGATTTTCTTCCTTCTCTCTTACCTTTCATCTTCCTTCTCTTTCTGTTAAGACCACTCAAGGTTATCTAAAAAAGATAAAAAAAATAAAAACAAAGCAAGCCTGGCAGTGGTGGCGCACTCTTTTAATCCCAGCACTTAGGCAGAGGCAGGCGGATCTCTGTGAGTTAGAGGCCAGCCTGGTCTAGAAGAGCTAGTTCCAGGACAGGCACCAAAAACTACAGAGAAACCCTGTCTTGAAAATCCAAAAAGATAAAAAATAAAATAAAAATAAAAAAGACCACTCAAGGCTGATGCTTGAGAGGTGCTGACCAAGCTTCCCCTGCCATTTTTCAGCCATTAACTTCCAAACAGCTCTATACTAGTATTAAAGGACCTGCCCTTAGTTTTTAGCAAGGAAGACCTCTGTTTTCAACAAATCTCCACAATGGCAGCAAGATGTTGGAGCTTGGTGACCCAGCCTATTTTTTTTTAAAGATTTACTTGTTATGTATATATTGTTTTGCCTGCATGCTAGAGGAGGGCACTAGATTTCACTGTAGATACAGAGTTACCATGAGGTATCTGGGAATTGAACTCAGAACCTCTGGAAGACCAGCCAGTAATCTTAACCTCTGGGCCATCTCTCCAGTCTGTGACCTAGGCTCATTACCCAAGCTCCGGGTAAACTGAAACAGGATCTCCTTGTGTTCTGGGACAGCCAGGGCTATAAAATAAGTCTCAAAAAGCAACACACACACACACACACACACACACACACACACGATAGCAGGAAGCAGTCTTCTGAGACAGTCTGGGCTACATAAATCTCAAAAAAAAAAAAAAAAAAAAACCAACACAGAACACAGGAACGAACACAAGATAACGGGGAGCCGTCCTTGGTACGGATTTAGGCTGCTTGAGAAGACTGACAGGTATTGCTTACCTCCACCCATCTCCTTCCTCGTTTACCTCCTTTCGTACTTTTCTGGTCCAGGAACCTTGAGAATGAAAGAAGACTGAATAAGACTTGGCTGTTAGTAGGAAGTGGGTTCACTTGTGTCCTGTCCTGGCCCCTCCCTTCCATAGGGTAAATTTCTGGAGAGAATGCGCGGGCATCTCTCAATCCCGAGTCCACTCCTCCAACTAAAATTTACTCACAGTTTCCACAAGTCTGAGGGGTCAGGCTGTTCCCCATAACACACACTCGTAATCCCTGTGCTCGGGCGGCCGATTAAGCAGCCTTGAAGCAAAACATCCCGTCTCTCAGTCTCTTTCTCTAAATCAGAGCCCCTTCCCCAGCCCCCCCC